GCTTGCGGTTGGTGCACTTGGTCTCATACTCCGGCCGAAGCTGCAGCTGCTGTTGCTCCTCCTCAAAGTCGACCAAATCCCATTCATACTCCAAACGGGCCTGCCGCCTCTTCCAGAACTCGAGGAACAGTGTCACTGCAGAGGAAGTGGACCCGTCACACCAGGTGATTCATGGCAAAATCATACCCTTGTTTTATTGAATCTGTATTAAGAGCTGTGCCTGGCTTGGAAAGACAAGATGCTGAGTGTTTCAAATGGAATTTTTCAGTGATTAAACCCAATTTAATTCTACTATATTGGTGCCATAGGAAAAGTGTCAGATCTCTAAGCCGATAAACCCAAAACTAAGAGGGAGAAAAGGAAAAATATGCTTTTTGTGTATGTGATTTGGGTGTATACTGTAGTTACAAAGTAAGTAATAGTAATTTTAAATGACAACAACAGTTTAGGAGCTCCCACTAGGTGGTGCACTGGTTTAGAAAATACAAAATGCAGACAGCAGACATTTTTACTCACCCCAAATCCCCATGAATATGGCAAAAAACACAGTTCCCACGTTGTCAAATAGGTGTGATTGCTGAGAACACATTTAAGAAATAGCTAAATAATGACAAATGCCAAACTTAATATTCCCTGTTTTAATGCCAAACATTGTGGGTAGAAGATGAATAATGAACAAAACAAGTCAGTCTCAAAGCCATGTCTCACCCATGAGGAGTTGCATGTTGTGTTGAGTTTCCAGTAGCCACATTTCTTGTCACACAGGGGGCACATGACAATGTTGCCTCCAACTGCCTCACTACAAATCTCCTTACTGTGTAAAAACAGAACTGTTTTCAATAAAATGAACAATGACACAGCAAATAAAGATAGCACCTAATAATGCTAGTATTCTGGGTAAAGCTCACCTCCACTGATTGTCATCGTAGGTGAGGAATCCGTAGATGAAACAAATTGTTCCTACTACTGCAGCAAACAGCAACATCTCAGTGTAGAAACCCAGCCATGCAAAATAAATACCTATCTTCTCCCCGTAATACTTCCTGTTGGAATTAAAAACAACAACATTCTTGCTGTAAATTCTTATGATTCCCAATTAGTAATTCTGAGTAAATACATGACAGATATGACTACTTTGTTTTCACGTCTTGCCTTATGAGGTTGAGGGGCTGCTCCTTGAAGAAACAGAGGAATCTGGCCCAGTATTTGTAGAGATTGTATCGCTCACTTTCGCGATTAACGTCCTTCGATTTTACCCAGTATCTACACTGCACGGACACAGAAGACACAGTTCACTACCACATTCACTGGGTTTCAACACTGAGTGCACATTCAATTAAAGACAAAAGTGTCAAATGTTCATCAAAAGAGGCTCACATCATGCAGGGGGAAGGCAGAAGTGTAGCTGCCGTTGTTGAGTAACCGTTTGATACCCTTCTTGTCTTTCTCTCCACATTCATCCCTGTAGTACGAGCAGCGGGACAGGATATAGTAGACCTAGTAGAGAGAAACAGAATAGCAGTGTTTGCCATTTGTCAGGCTTAAAATATCTATGGCTAAAAACCAGATTTATACAGTTGCCTGTTTTCTCAACAGTTTTAGGAAAATAAACATTCAGTTCTACAAAATAAATGTGGCCCTGTTAAATTAGTAGTTTAGCCACTTTAATGACCATTTTCAAAACATATTAGTTCAAGTCCATAAACAGAGTCAGAGCTTAGTAGCATTTGTAAAAAAAAATCAGCTTTGAATGTTTGAGGAATGTTACAATCTGAAGGTCACAAACAAGATAAGGAAGTCATTGTCAACGCATTCTTACAATCCTGTTGCGAGTAGAAGTGGGGAAGAACGTGTCTTTGTCGTCAGTCAGGAAGAAGTCAGACTTGCTCTTGTTGAATGGGGCTGTGAAATAGTCTGGCTCAGGCTGCATGACGTGCTCCGGCAAACGAAAGGGGGTGGACAGCCAGTTCATGGGCATCGCTCTGTTCTCTGGGATGTCGTTGACCTTAAATGGGGCCTTAATCTTTAACACATCTGCGTAGGTGGCCAACACTTCCCATGGAGCATGGATCTTCACAAAAAAGGTCTTTCCATCCTCTGACTCCTGATGGTAATGACAGTGAGATAGTTTCTCAGTAAAATGAGTGTAGGCTACTAGTTCAATAAGTCCTACTCAATGATAAAAGGAGATGCTTGAAAAAAAAAGCATTTCACAGGTTTTCCATGAAATTCGGTTTTTTAGCAGCATAAAGATAAAGTGGCGATATGACATACAGTGCCTTGCGAAAGTATTCGGCCCCCTTGAACTTTGCGACCTTTTGCCACATTTCAGGCTTCAAACATAAAGATATAAAACTGTAATTTTTTGTGAAGAATCAACAACAAGTGGGACACAATCATGAAGTGGAATGAAATTTATTGGATATTTCAAACTTTTTTAACAAATAAAAAACTGAATAATTGGGCGTGCAAAATTATTCAGCCCCTTTACTTTCAGTGCAGCAAACTCTCTCCAGAAGTTCAGTGAGGATCTCTGAATGATCCAATGTTGACCTAAATGACTAATGATGATAAATAGAATCCACCTGTGTGTAATCAAGTCTCCGTATAAATGCACCTGCACTGTGATAGTCTCAGAGGTCTGTTTAAAGCGCAGAGAGCATCATGAAGAACAAGGAACACACCAGGCAGGTCCGAGATACTGTTGTGGAGAAGTTTAAAGCCGGATTTGGATACAAAAAGATTTCCCAAGCTTTAAACATCCCAAGGAGCACTGTGCAAGCGATAATATTGAAATGGAAGGAGTATCAGACCACTGCAAATCTACCAAGACCTGGCCGTCCCTCTAAACTTTCAGCTCATACAAGGAGAAGACTGATCAGAGATGCAGCCAAGAGGCCCATGATCACTCTGGATGAACTGCAGAGATCTACAGCTGAGGTGGGAGACTCTGTCCATAGGACAACAATCAGTCGTATACTGCACAAATCTGGCCTTTATGGAAGAGTGGCAAGAAGAAAGCCATTTCTTAAAGATATCCATAAAAAGTGTCGTTTAAAGTTTGCCACAAGCCACCTGGGAGACACACCAAACATGTGGAAGAAGGTGCTCTGGTCAGATGAAACCAAAATCGAACTTTTTGGCAACAATGCAAAACGTTATGTTTGGCGTAAAAGCAACACAGCTCATCACCCTGAACACACCATCCCCACTGTCAAACATGGTGGTGGCAGCATCGTGGTTTGGGCCTGCTTTTCTTCAGCAGGGGCAGGGAAGATGGTTAAAATTGATGGGAAGATGGATGGAGCCAAATACAGGACCATTCTGGAAGGAAACCTGATGGAGTCTGCAAAAGACCTGAGACTGGGACGGAGATTTGTCTTCCAACAAGACAATGATCCAAAACATAAAGCAAAATCTACAATGGAATGGTTCACAAATAAACATATCCAGGTGTTAGAATGGCCAAGTCAAAGTCCAGACCTGAATCTAATCGAGAATCTGTGGAAAGAACTGAAAACTGCTGTTCACAAATGCTCTCCATCCAACCTCACTGAGCTTGAGCTGTTTTGCAAGGAGGAATGGGCAAAAATTTCCGTCTCTCGATGTGCAAAACTGATAGAGACATACCCCAAGCGACTTACAGCTGTAATCGGAGCAAAAGGTGGCGCTACAAAGTATTAACTTAAGGGGGCTGAATAATTTTGCACGGCCAATTTTTCAGTTTTTTATTTGTTAAAAAAGTTTGACATATCCAATAAATTTCGTTCCACTTCATGATTGTGTCCCACTTGTTGTTGATTCTTCACAAAAAATTACAGTTTTATATCTTTATGTTTGAAGCCTGAAATGTGGCAAAAGGTCGCAAAGTTCAAGGGGGCCGAATACTTTCGCAAGGCACTGTATACATGATATGACACATGCATAGTGTCTTTACATGGCACAGGGTGCTTACAGATTTATCTTCCGTCTCCAGCTGCAGGCCAACTTTCATTAGATTGGCCTCATACACCTTCCTTCTCTCCTTTAGAAGAAAAAAAAAACAGTGTACACATAAATTTAATCATGATTTCAATTCCTCCTTCTTACAGCGGAAATTTACTGCCATGTTTGATGACACATATGGATATTACACAGGAACTGGCCTCTGTTTGTTCTTCCTCATGCAGTAGGAAAAATGAGTTAGTGTAGCTCTTAAGCAGGCCAGCGTGTTGACTCACTGCTGTGACTATGAGCAATATGTGACTCGGCTGCGACGAACTGCCTCATGGTAGAGTGGTAACAGCAAATGTGAAGTCTAACAGCCTGGTACCAAACACTATAAGTCTTCCAGAACTTCACAGGTGATAAAATATAACATGCAAACCCTCCTATGACAATATGGAAATATTTAAAGTTGATTTACCAAAAAATAAAAGGGTTGTGAGGCTATGTCAATGCAGAAGTGACCTTATAATAGATTCCCTGAAACAACAATAAAAAACTCAATTGCTTGCAGTTAGTCAACTAGTGAAATGTACCTAGAAATTGTTTCTTACCTGTTTTCTCTCACCATCTTTTTCATCAACAACATAGGACAGGACAAAATCAATCCTGCGCACTCCATCACGGAAAAACACGGAGTCTTTACTATACTGTTGTTTGCCGATCTATAACAAAATAAAACAGAGGTCACAACATTTAAAATAGACACTGGTACAATATCAGCTAAAAGAGCAGAGCAGAGAGCCAAACTATGTGTCAGTGGCTAACAGCAAAACCCAAAAAACAAGGCCTCCACACCATATTAGACTGGAATGTTTGCCTAAAGCAACACAATTACAGATCCTCACAAACAGCATGCTAAATGGAAGGGATATGCTCTGACTAAGATGTTTAATGTTGCTCATGCCCCCTTACAAGGATTTACTGAACAAGATGAAACACCTGTAAGACCTCATTTATACTTGGACTACTTCTCTCCTATAGATCTCTCTGAGTTGACCTCAACAATTGCTTCATCTAAATCATCAACATGTGTCTATTATCAGGAAGCACAACAGAAGTTTCCATTGCTATGCAGATGATACTCAGTTATATTTATCTGTGAAGCCAAATGAATCAGATCAGCTGGTCAAACTTCAAGCATGTCTTAAAGACATAAAGGCCTGGATGGCCTGTAACTTCTTACTTCTAAACTCTGACAAAACTGAAGTTATTGTGCTTGGGCCTGAAAACCTTAGAAATCTGCTGTCTAATCATATAGTTACTTTAGATGACATAGCTCTTGCCTCCAGTACTACTGTGAGGAACCTTGGAGTCATCTTTGATCAGAATATGTCCTTTAAATCACACAAAATCCAAGTCTCTAGATCTGCCTTCTTTCACCTGCGCAATATTGCAAAAATCAGGAGCATCCTGTCCCAAAGTGATGCTGAAAAACTGGTCCATGCATTTGTTACTTCCAGGCTGGACTACTGTAACTCTTTACTATAAGTATATCCCAATAATTCCCTAAAAAGCCTCCAGCTAATCCAAAATGCTGCAGCCAGAGTAATGTTAATGACAAGGCTCCATCGTATCTTAAAGACCTCGTAGAGCCTTATCATCCTAACAGAGCACTTTGCTCTCAGAGTGCAGGTTTACTTGTGGTTCCTAGAGTCCACAGAAGCAGAATGGGAGGCAGAGCCTTTAGCTATCAAGCTCCTCTCCTATAGAACCAACTCCCAGTCTCAGTTCAGGAGGCACACACCCTCTCTAAGATTAGACTTAAGACTTTCCTTTTTGATAAAGTTTATAGTTAGGATTGGATCAGGTGACCCTGAGCCCGGCTGCTGACGGGGCCCATGATGCTCTGAGCTCAGCAATGGCAGCAGGAACAAAACTAGTTCAACATTGTTTGTGGATAGAGGCTTGTCACACTTTACTATCAGGTACATGTGTCTGTTTCCTTCTGTCATTTTGGATTTTGGCAAAACAGTTATGTTCAGTATCCCTCTCTTAACCTGATTTTTGCAGGGAGTGAGGCAGAGGACACAGTGTGTGTTTAAATCCCCTCAGTGGGAGCTTCCAGTGAAGCTTATAGCTCTCTGCTGTCCTGTTTGAGCAAACTGAGGAGATTTAAAGTTCTCTCTATCAAGACAGCTATTCCACTGGCTGTGAGTTACAGTATATACAGTTGTCTATCATCAGTCCACAAGTTACAATTTAGCAGTTGCCAGTTTGAGGAGACCAGCTTCACATCACAGTAAATAACAGTAAGGTCTAGACCTTACTTTGTAAAGTGTCCTGAGATGACTTTTATTGTGATTTGGGGCCATACAAATAAAACTGATTTGATTTGATGAGAATAGGCTTTTAAAGAAATGTTCATCACAGGAAAAAATCCAGTCCTGTAAATGCTCTCCCCCCAGGTCATCTGTCAATTCATAAAACATAAACTCAGGTTATATCTTATAACAAAGAATATGTGGAGAGGCTTACAAATTCAGAAAATACCACAGTCTACAAAACAGGGACAGCAGCCATACTAGGCTCCCATATACTTTACATGCTTTTCTGTAAATCCTGAAATCCACTGTAGCTGAGACCACATGTACTGTCAGCTTTAGAAATTCCAAGCATGTGTGTCAGCTAACGCTAACCCTGCAGTGGCTGTCTCTTCAGCAGCTACAGGCATGAGCGAACATGAATTGCACAGCTTTAAAGGAGGAAAGGGCTTGACTATTTGCTGTCTGAGCTGCTCCAGCTGTTCACATTGCTAAAAGTAACCATGCAGCATGTACTGCTGTCATCACTTCACACAATGACAGTAGCTAGCCGCCCACACGGGACTGCAGGCAGTTCAGAAAAGTCAATAAAACCTACATCGCAGCCTCATCTATGTCAAATGCACTTTAGTTCTGATAGAGTTTCCTTTGACCGTCAGCCTAATGCTGTGGGGAAGAAAGGAAGAGCACACTTTACCTCCATGTCTTGCTCCCTTTATGGTTATGGCGGAAAGAACAGCTGCCTGAGCAAAATTGCCTTTCTCCAGGGAGCAGAGTCCAGCCCTGAAAATACTGCTTCTCTCACTCCCACTCCACTGATCCCCAAGCCAGTGGAGCTCCATCCAGACTACCCTCCTCCAGAAAAGAAAGCGGGAGAGTGACAGGAAGAGAGAGGACAGGAGAGAAATAGAGCAGACTCCTAGAGATGACTCCGGCACAGGCGCAGCATGGCTGCTGCCAGTTAATGTTATAAGAGGACAGCATCAGAAAAGGGGAGGTGATGTCACTGTACTGCACAACACTGGCCATCAGCAGAGTAAGCCCCTGAAACATGATGTCCAATATTTTAGATAACTGGGAAATCCATTGCTAAAAAACAAATTACCACATGAAGAACTCTGTTCTGTTAAGGCTGATAAAGATGCACTGCAGAAAACTGATAACTGCTGCATAATCTCCTCAGCCTGACTTGACTGCTTCAAAGTAGTGACCCGACCACAATTGTGTACAAAGTGCAAATTGGGCCATATGGAAAATACATGTAAACTGTCTCAGACATGTTGCACACATTATCTACAAAGAACAACAGCTGTTTTTAAGCTCTACAGCTGAATTTACACACCTGGTTCCTACTGTATTGATTCATATAAGACTTGTCTTTTTACAGTTTTCTTAGCCCAGAGTATGTATTCACTGTAACAGCTGGTCTGAACTACCTCCCAGACTACACTGACCATGTGGACCAGTGGTTACTTTTAGCAGGGTAGGTGCTTTATTTAACTGGGATGCTGCTGCAGAAACCCTCTAATTTGCTGTAATTACAGGTCAGCCATATGGAGTGCCACAGAGTCCTATACATTTTTCAACTAAAGTAACTACTGGGCGTTTAGGTCTATGTATATCTTTTACCTTAATTAAAAAGGGTAGATATAAAACATGGTCTAACATAAGAAGGCTTCCAATTTCAGGGAGGGGGAGTCCTTTAAAATATTACTTTCAAGACATCTCTTTTTTTTAGGCTGAAGGATTCTGGCAAAGAATTGTTACTGGTCACTGGTCACTTGGATTTAGATTTTTAATATATCACAGCTACTAAATTGTCTGATAATGTTTCAATGTTTTCTTCTGAGAACGCTCCTGTCAGTCTTTAGTCATTATGCTTCAAAATTCTCTTAAGTCTTCAATGCATTCTGCATGTTAGTGCTACAAAATCAGCAAACATGCATTCAAATCTATTCACTGTTTATACTATGTTGTTTCAGCAAAAACCAAAAAAAAAAATGTCTTATCTAATTCTAGTAAATGGTAGCTACTGTATAAAACCAAAATGTATTTATTGCATTGCAATAAGTCACTGCAATCGTCCAAAGTGTTCTAAACACAGAAGACTTTGTGCTTGTCTCTAGAGCAAAAAAGGAGACCTGGATACTCCTACTATACCTTAGCAGTGTCAGTGACACTCTAAGAACATGCATTTATTGATTACAAAGACAATATACAGATCTGCAGCTGCCTCCCATCAACAACACTTTGATGCAATCATCATCTCAGCTAAATCACAGCCTTTGGTTGGAGAGGGCCAGGCTACTAGAAAATCTGATTACAGGGTTTCCCCCTAATGATTATCTGCTGTTTAAAATAGCAACGATTCCATTTTTCAATAAAATGGGTTACACACTGTTTAAACAAGACCACAATTAAAAAACGATGCCTGCAGTATGTGGTTAGCCACAGCAAAGTTCAGTCCTATCATGAGCACAGGGCAGGGTCAGGATTACACTATAGGCTGCATACACTTATGGTACAGCAAAGTACACGTGCACAAACACAAATGCACTAACATGAAAATAGCTAGGTAAATGACAAACATGGTATGTGAGTGTGCATGTTTCTAATTATGCTGTAACACTACCTCTTGCTTTTCTTCAGTGAAGCAGACGATTATCACAGGTGAGAACAAAGCAAGTAAAAAGCCCCGTTCGCATGATGCATCAACACACAACTCGTGCTGCCATGTTTCCATTACTCTCTGCAGAAAACAACATGCTCTCCAGGAGCCAATATCAGCTCTCTACCAAGATACTGTGTATTGATTTCAACTCTAATGTCCAAGCTTCACTCTCTCAATATCTAATGGAGAAACTCAACACTCAACTCAACAGACATTCTTCAAGAAGGAAATATAAACTAGCAAGCAGACATGTGTATGACGTTGGATCACATTTCAAGCCTGTTTTACCATGCCATACCCTGGAACGAAATTTCAAGAACAGAGCCCGCTTTCTCGAAAGCTGTGGAGGAACCGAGAGGACAGTGAGGAAAACAACGCCTGACAGCATGATACATTCAACAGCATACAACTAAAACTGTAGCGGCAACATTACAGAGGCGATCAAAACATGAAAATGATACACGCAGACAAGCCACGCTTGCATTATGTTTAGACATCTGTACACATTATGTTTAAAACACTTCCAAACATGCTGAAAAACAATAAATGTTAATGAACGCTGACACAGACACACAGACACTGACACAGCAGCATGCAGCTGTGTATTTGACTGGTGTCTTACCCCAGTCAAATCACTGATTTGCTCTAAGGTCTGAGCCTCAAAGTGTGGACTGTCGCTGTGGTCAGAAGGGGCCGGGGAGGCCCGGCTGGTGTCGAGAGACTCACAGGTCTCTACGCACACATCAGATGTCAAAGGAGACTTTAAGTACAGTGTGAAAAGGGAGAATAAACAGGGGCATAATTGCAAGTTGTAAACCATTACAACTGGAATAAAAAAAACTGAGGTAAACTCACAACTGAAACTATTAGATGCTGGTTCCACTAAACTCCACAAGCTAAACCATCCTGTTTTAGTGGGTGGGTCTACATTAAGAAAATCACTGTGACAATTAAACTGGGAAAAAAGAAGGAAGGAAATCTAAATAAGACACTTTAGTTGTCCACAATGAACTTCCTGTTGTTTTCAGGAGCAATGGCAGAAAGTGAAGGTACAGTACAGTGGGGTTAAACAGACATCTTTAGTGCATTCATCTTGAAAAGCCTAACATACCCTTGTGAGGCACCTGCAAATATACATAATAACAAAAGTTACTGTGTTATGAGATTTTATTCAAAAGAAGCTGCTTTATAGAATGTCTATGAAAGTGTGAGTTTGGTGTTTACCACTGCTTGTCCCTGCTGACGGGATCCTGTGCTGGATGAGGCATTTTGGTGGTAGCCATTTATATCATCTGCAAGACAGTAACAAAGGGCAACCTAAGTAAAAAATAGAATAACCAAGGTTAATTACAGTAATATTCTCTAACCAATGTAAAGGAAGAATAGCAAGTAGCACAATAAATCTGAAAATGTGGCTGCGTAGTTTCAGTTCTGTGAACAGTTGCCTGAGATAAGAGAGAACTGGCAAACAGCCAGTGTTGTGCTCTATATTTGTACAGCACATTTTGTGGCAGCACTCCCACCGGCCAGAGAGCATGACCTAGCAGGCTCACCACGAAAGAACAGCCACAGCCATGTTGCTGTGCCATCACTATAGAGGACTCTGCAGGAACTGTGACCTAGAAGTCTGGTAAACCCCCTCAATGTGTCTGAAGGGGAAGGCTGCATGTGTTGAAATACGGCTTCAACCAGGATCAAGTTCTTCTTTTAGCTACTCTCCATTGCCTGTCAAGAGTATATTCTGAGAAAAGATGTATTTAAATGGCAGGGCAGATGGATAAGAATGACAAACATCTAGCATAGGCACCACTTTCCTTAAAAATATAAAGAAAAAGCTGGTTGTATGTCTGTGTTTTAAATAGAACTTCAACAGTCCTAATTGATGGTCTCTCTGAGGTTATATTTAGTCTGAAAATGCTTAGCAATGAAACAAGCATTTGAACCTTATGTAAACTTTTTCTGTCTATGTCATTGCACACCTTGTCAAAAAAGCATAACATGGTGGCTCAAAACTAAAATGAATAAGTAATCTAATATACTTGACAGTGTATTATAGTAACAATGCCACTATTGAGAGAAATGTAAGTGAAACATGATATCATTTCCATTACATGCGGTTCATTATTTGCATACAGGCTTAGTGTTACTAGTGAAGGATGTGAAGCTCTAGCACTACTGACACCTTAAAGAAGAATCTACAGAAGATCTGGATTCAAAGCAAAAGCCACCCCTTTCATGCAAACTTAAAGCCAATTTGTTTTATTTTCCTTAAAAAGCACTTGGGACACTGAGTTGGGTTTTGGACTGCTGTAATTTGTTCCAAAATATACGGTATTTGGTTCATGACATATAAGAATGCCTCTCAAGACGTCGAGCACATTTTGGCACAGTTTGGTGCATTAGTAGAGCAATCAGCATTAGCCACTTACCTACGCCAAGGGTCATATCCCACCTAAGTATGTAGCCTCTGCAGTTGAGGCTTTGTCCACAAAAGAGCAGTTGAGCTCAGTGAAAATGCCACAAGGCTGCTTCTGACTCCTTCTTTATTACCACAGCAGACTCAAGAGAACAAATCTGATGCACATCTATTATTTACACAAAAACAATTATGTTGCAGCTCAGCCATACTGATACTCAAAAGTCAAATCCAATACTAAAACATGGAGAACAAATACAGCTGCTTTATTGAACTAACAGAGATGTGATCTCGAACCTACAACTACTTTTTAGTGTCTATATGACTACATTGACTTGAGTACCTGTAAACTGTTACTGTTACCGCTGCCACCGTACAAGGATGTGTGCTACATTTGGTCTATAAACACAGTCGGGGGGTTCGTCTGATTTCCTGTGACAGGAAGCCACTGTCATGTTTAGAAAGGTGAGTTTAAAGGTGGAAACATAAAGTATACAAAGAACTGTTCTGACAGGTGAGTTCACAAGACAGTCTTAGGTAGATTTTATCCATATTTACAGTAAGGGTGAGCACTAGTGCAGCAACACATGATAATCCAAGCTTGTCTGAGTCTGTGTGGTCAAACCACAACCATGAGCAGTTTGAGAATCTGTACCTACAGTATGTTCACTGGGGTTTATTTAAATACAGAAACCTGTAAATGGGTTATAAAGCAAGTCAGGCATATGTAACACTAACAGCAAGATTGGAAAATTTGTGTTTTTGCTTGTATGGTAATGAATGAACATTACTCATACAACAGAAACCGAATCTACAAAAAGGATGTTTTCCATCGGCAGTCATCATTGTACAGTACACTCATAATATGGAGTATTACTCCTACTGAAGGTTAGGGAGGTGTGAGTGTGACGTGAGGGGAAGACACTACTTCCACTGTTATCTCAACGCACCACAAACACACAACACCAAGGTAACAGTAACTATAGTTCATGACCACTTCAGTTTCATTTAGACTGCTATATGATTCTCTCTGTGCTGCAGATGAAACGCTACACTTTCACTTCAGCTCATACAGATACTGGTTGCTGCAGTGTACCCAGGCTGATTCATCCTCCATTCAGCAACACCATAAATGGCAAAAACACAAGCCCCTGTCTAAAGGGTTGTATAAAATTCACATTTAGCCCTAAGCAGTGAGGGATCTGGGGCTTGTTTTGGTGGATATAGTGTCAGCCTTTAAGCAGCAGCCAGTTGTCAGAAGCAGGCAAAAAGTCACTGCTGCTTAAATAAAAAGAAGGGCAGACTATTCACAGCATTAAAGGAGAAACGAGCAGGGTGGGTTTTAAACTGTGTAGGCCTACAGGTTATCATTACTGACACAGAAGGCTTGTGTCATAAATCTACTTTTAAATTTGCTGTTTACCTTAGTTGTGAGCTGAGAAATGTCATGGTTATGGCTGTTGGAAAGTTTTAGTGAGGATAAGCTTTTCAACACGCCTACTGTAGGCTATGGTGTTTTTTAAAGGTTTGTTGACCCGGTGTAATAGGATATCCCTGAAAAACTTTGTCCTTTTTAAGAATGTGACTAATGAAACCCGGCACATTAACTTCAGAGCAACATTTAAAGTGTAAAACCGCGGTTTGAGGACACACCAGCCTGCTGGCTCTAACATACTCACCGTTAAAAGAATCAGTCGGGCTCAGCTCAATCAAACTGTCCCCTCCCGCTTTTCCCGTTATTCGGTGCATGCTGACTCCGTCGTGCTGCCAAGCCGTACCTACTGGTCCTCATCTACACCATGAAATCCTGAGCCAAATGATTTCTGTCCCACTAACAAAGCGCTCTTCTGTCTCCTCAGTCTGCTCACCAGGACTCTCACCAAGACTCTCACCAGGACTCTCTTTTCGCCGCCCTGCCTCAAGCACTGCCCGCTGACTGCGCATCACCTCAGCACAGAGGGAGGGTCGTGAGGGGAGGCGCCACGTACACACCACAGGCCAATAGTTTGTGCCTGGGGAGAACAGATACTGTAGCGGACGGTAATGTCCACCGACGAACACAACTGGACAGTCCAGATATGTAACATTAGCTAACCACATGCGCCAGTTAGTGTTTGTGTTGGCATAAGCTAACCTTAGCTAACGGAGCAGCAGGGGAACATTCCTCCACGGAGTTCATTAAATTTGAACAACCAGGAGTCTGCTCTCGAGTATTCTAGTTTACTTACCAGGAAAGAAAACAAAAGAAAAACGTGGATGCCGGATAATTTTATATTATTTTCGAATCGGAGTAGTGTTCATGGCCAGTTCTAGAACTTTGAGATTCATTGGCCGCCAGCGACCAATCAGATCGGAGTATTTACCAGGCTGTGGTTTCATCTAATGTTATTAGATGTTAATAAACTTGTTAAAGAATGGGCGAGCAGTCCCACGGAAGCTCAGTGTTCATATTAGATGATGTTTCATCCATCATTTGGCCCCAAAAGACGGTATCATGCATAGACTGTATGGTATCAGGCCATAATCGTCATTACTCAACCCTAACATACTGTATATATCAATCCAAGCTCCATATTTGCTTGTAATTAAAATCTCTGTGTTCAGCCAGTCTGGTCATCATGGTGGCAAGAAATATCAGAAGTCGTCATTTATATCAGCTTCTACATCCTCCTCACTGTCCTATTTTAACCAGAATAAAAATATACCAAAAGCACCCTTTTGACATTACATTAGCACTTAAATGCATTAGTGAATCTGCTCTACCTGTCATGTCTTATCATGTCTTAAATTCATTAAAGAACCTTTTCTGAGCCATCATGTCTGCAGTTATAAAATAAATGTTAGTAATGGTCTGTCTCTACGTTTGCAATAAGCCATAAGCAAAAGTTAGCCAGTCACCTATAAATGTTTTTAAAGATCATTTAAAAAATTTCTACAATAATCAGTTATGTCTGAAGTTGTAAACGTTAATAAACTGTTATAGCCAAAATTGATTTTGGTCCAGATGTCCTGCAGCTGTTTTCTAAAAGGTTGGCAATTTAACATCTCAGTGGAGGTATTTTAAAGACAAAAGTGTCATGCTAGAGGAGGAATTTCCACCATCCAGCAGTTCATAGGTTGTTCTTAGTAAATGATTTATTCACCAGTAATACTAGTGGTACAAATTCTGAGCATTTCAGTCATAAAATGTGTTAATTTGCAAACGATGCAACATTAAACAACGACAAGATGAGGATGTACACTGTCACTATGTTCCCTTAGATAAATCATTTGCATAGCTATAAACCAATTTGTCTGGCAAACGAGTGAGCTTCTAGGAACCAGCCACATAGCCTATTACCTCATACATTTCCACAAGGATCCCACAGGACATTTATTTAGTCGCCCACAGGAAAACATGTTTAAGAGAAACATCTGGTCCCATTATGATTGAAGTGCAAAGCCTCCTGATCATTTTGCTCTGGGCTATAATTCTTTAGTAATGAAAAAACACACACACCATACACAATTCATTGCCACAGGGCCTTTAACAGTCTGCTGTACTCTCTACTGTCTACTGTAAACAGTATTATGTTTGGCTGCTCTCATACTTTGTTCCGCCCTCACAGGGATTTCAGGAAGGGCTCCATCAGCAGCTTATCCCCGCTCCTCCCAGTCACTCAGTACTTACACTCTGGTCCAATTTAGTAGCAGTGGCCCTTTCCATTGCCTTTCAAGTGGTTTACACAGTCTTGTACTGGTGTAATTATGTCATCCTCCTCTGTGGGGTGTGGCCATGTACAGAAATACAGCTGCTTATTTTCACAGCCTTTTTCTTTGAGCCTCATATTGCATCTCCTACTCGACATGAGGGATTTTCTGGGTGTTCACCAAGGCTTTTCAAGATTGGTGCTAAAATCATCTTTAATAACAACCCATTTGACCTGTTAGTTTTTCTTTGCTTTACAGTCAAACAGAAATGATGGGAAACAGAAATAGGTCAAATGGATTCACTTAAGATATTATTTAAAAAAAACAATTACAACAAAGGAAAATCAGTAATACTGTGTAAAGAGGAATGTCAAAACCTTTAAGTTACATCACTAAAATATATTTAAGGAAAATAGCTGGATACAAAAAAATGAATGTGTTGTATGTAAAGTGTAAATATAGCCTAATACCACAATAAGTTATAGGAAAGAAATAGCTTGCTCAACTGTTGGATTAAACAGGTAGGTTACAATATGTCCATGTAAAATATAGTTGAGTACAATTATACAGTGGAAATCCTACAGCTGACTGGATGTATTTCCTTTTAACACACAAAAAATGTAAATCTGTGAAACAATGCTCAATATATGTGGATAAATCTCTCTCTGGCTCTGTCCTTGTTTAACCTGTGCAGTGTTATTGTTATGACATTTGATTCTACTTCCTGTACATACGGGCTTTTTTGTCTGTTGTGAAAAAAGGGAAAATGACAACTGGAAGTAAAACTGCTGGGTCAGCTAATAAAGCCACTGTGTTAACATCATGAAGAAATAAGAAAATGTATGTTTGTTACATATTCAGTAAAATAAGATTTCATTCTAAACTGCTAATAAAGTGAGGTTAATGTGAACATGTAAGCATACAGTTACATGTACTTATTTTAGTTTGTCGTTATTTTTAGTTAAACTAATTGCAGCTTTATGGCTCAACCTAATCCAACTTCTAATACTGACAACAAATGGGCTTTAGTTTCTTATTTTTGTGTATTTCCAGTTTGCTCAGTCAGGACTTAATATTCAGTGGTGGATGCTAATGACTCTTTTCCATTATGGACCTCGACATGTTTTCAAATTGTAATTTCATGACTCACTGTGTAAAAATGATGTTTTTATTTAACAAATGTCACACTCGGCGATGACTGATGTGTGTAGGATGATTCAGTCACAGTGCAGTGATTTTCAGACGCATGAACCCAGTGCGTGTGCTGCCATCTAGCGGTAGATAAATGGCATTTTGCATCAGTGAAGAGGAGGCGACACAAATTTGCCATTCCATCGCACCTTGACAAGCCAACGATGGTGTCTTTTTGTATGTAGCTCCTGAAACATACAGGAGGCTCACTTTGTTTGTGTATTTGTTGACCGCGCCGTTGAAGTGACTGGACGAGGGAAAAAGGTGGAGACTGGGACGATCGCCGCTGTAACATCAGCAACAGGTAGAGTCGCTTTTACATTCCTTAGCCTGCAAAACAAAAATGCGCTTGTTTCTGGAGGGAGTACGGAAGTTCCCTACTACCTGTTGTCATTTTATAGCTGGGTATATCTGCGAGCTGAGAGGCTTTGTAATCCGTGAATGGTGACTGAAGCTGTTCTATTAATCCGGGTAGTCACATCTGCATTCGGCGCCTACACATCATGTACGGCCACAGGAGACAGGTGGGTGATCTTGTTCATCCAGAGATTTGATCGATACATAATGGAGCTGTTCTGCGGTCAGCTCCCACTTTAAGAGTTTTTGTTATGCTGCTCAGGCCCGCTGTGTTTAACATGACTGCCAGACCTGCACTTGTCCGACTAAATAGCTCCAATGGAAACTCATCTCTGTGCTGTAAAGACCCACCCTTACAGAAATCAGGACCTCAGTCTAAATATAATCATATATTGATCAGGAGTGAACGGAATGTATGAGCCTTCTTTGGTGTCATCATATTTAGATGACAGTTCTAGGGCTGCCACACCTCCATTGTTTTGGTCCTGTTTTGTAAGGAGACTACTTAGCAGGCTGCTGTGTGGCATGTGGGCGAGAGCACATCAATATAACATGCTGGTCAGGCAGGTTAGTTTAACCCTGTCCACCAGTCCTCCGTAGTGAGTCAGGAGAACCTCAGGTGTTTGTCAGCACAGTGGCATTCACTGACACACCTCCATGTTATAGTTAGGATTCGTTTGCAGATGATGATCTTCACATGCTTAGCATTACATATCACTGCTAGATCACTTAGTTGTTTTATTGTTAAAACATTACATATCTGTCACACGTTTATATCATTTTAACAACAAAAACATGTATTAATGACCTGTATTGCTATTGTTTGGATAGCTCCTCCTTGTATTATTTTTCATTGTTGTGCTGTGTAGCCCAGTATTGAACTACTGGAACTCATGGGAGTGGTAAAAGAGAATGGCAATGAGGAGACATCACTTCCTCCTGTGGTAAGTTGATCTAATGTGTCCAGCCTAAGACTATGCTAACTACTTCTGTCCATAGATTAAGACTGACCCATATAATGTGAGAAAGTCTGACTTTGGCATGTCTTCTTTATCACACAGCACACTCCACTATCATATGACTATGTCTTGGTTGCTAAACCCATCGATAAGCAGGAGAGAGAGGCCTTCAAGAAGCAAATTGAATACATTGAAGAGCTGAAAAAAAAGAACATGAAAGTCACAGTAAGTCTTTGATAATAGACAAAAGTGTGCCTGTACTGTATATGGGGCAAAGGTTGTGCAAGTCATTCATTCACATTGTCTTTATTTATTCGTGGTAGAAAATTATAGATGATGAGTTCGTCTTCTATGGGATTCAAGCGCCCAAAGAAATTTTCGAGAAGTACAGGTATCTGCTTAAAGTGTCTGATGCTTGTAACTGGAGTTCAGATCAGAACACTGTGGCTCTCAGCACCAGGTAAAGCATACCACTGCAGCTATATGTGGCATTTTAAACAAACACAGACGCTATTTAAAACACCGAAGACTGTTTATGTGCTCCATATGAAATGATCTTTTCAAATACTTGTCCTTATCTAAATGATCTCTAAAGCCTACCCTACATTTAGTTTCCAAGGACAAAAAAATTGGATGAATGAATAAAGTTTTTATTGTTTCTTGCTGCAAGCTACATTTTAGAACATGTGATACTTGTCATGTTTCAGGATAAGGATTGTCCACTTCATCTTGAATCATACCCAGATCCATTCTGGAGGTGAGAAAGGCTTAATTACAATCCCAGTTCTTCTCATTTAATCATACTCCTGAATTTTTTATTATTCTTTTTACCTGTTCATCTTCTCAGAGGCCCTGCGGGATCTGATGAAGACGAAGGTTTTTGAAGCAAGGTTCTGCTTACACGAGGTAAAAGACCTACAACATTTCATTACAATGCTAGGTTTAAATGCTTTTCTTGTACAGCATCGTAATATTATCACAAACCTTTGCAAATGCAATATTACGATGCTGTCTGCCCTGATCAAGGCCCATTCAGGATCTGCACCAGGCGCCAACTTTAGCCTTAGAGACTGTATGAATAAAAACTAATAATGGCACACAAGTGAATAAACATACAATAGTCCTTGAATGAGACTTTCCTGACTGTGAGATATAGATGATTCAAATATACTATATGGGGATCTGCGCATTCTTTGGCACTGATATCTAACGGTGCATCACTGCTTTTCACACTGCCACAAAGGTGTTTTCCGATTCTTAAGAGCTTATAAAATTACAAACTGAAACTTGGCAGTGACCTTCCAAAACAATACATTGCTGCCAAAGAAGCATTTGTACATAGAATCTATGCGAGTCAAGGCTACTGATGCAGTGAGTCATCCAATCATGGAAAAGGTGATTGTGTGCGAGTGTATGTGCACATGTGTGTACCTGACAAAATTAACTGTTGAGAAAATTAACATGTCAGTAAATTTACACAGTGTATTCCAAATATGAGACGCTGTTAATTTTTATTCTTTCTTAAAATTGTGTATTTAAGCTAAAATCAAAGTGTCCAGCGATGCGATTGATATTTTTGCATTGCATTGTACAAGCTTCTGTTTTCAGTTTGACTAGAACTGCCAGGTTTAAAAAACATGTTTGAAGCTTCGTGTTGGTGTTTTCCTTTGATTTTGTGCGCTTCTGCTTTCAGAAAAAGAAGCAACGAGAGCTGAAGGAGAGCTGGGCACGATGGACAGCCTGTCTCCAAGGGCAACCCATAACTGCCGTCAGGTTTGGACTGCAACACAACAGCCTATTCATTGTTCTGCTTTTTATACACTTGCGGTTATTGCAGCTTCATTGTTTTTCTTGTCATCGTACTGTGAAGCACATTCTATGGTGAACAACAGCAATCATGTCCTTCCGCACGCATTATGGAGGCATTGTTTGGACTCTTTAAAATGATGTACCTAATGCTGGTACAGGTTAGAGTTGTTGTCTATACATTCACTTGAGTAGCGAGTCCACAGTGCAAATAGGCACATGCCTCAGTTTTTAAGTTGAAAATTAATATATATAAGATTTGTGTCAATATGTTACTGTAGGTACAAGATAAAATTTCAGCTGTTTAGTCTCGCACACATACTGTATTATGCCAATAATCACCCCATAGTGAGCAAGTTTTGTCAAAAGCCATCCAGTATGTGTTGCCCTCATCACTGTCACTGCTCTCAATAGGAAAAGGAGGCCACAACGCACCTTTATGAAATAAAATCTATGCCATTTATACTGAAAAATGTACAATTTTTGTTTGTTAAGTTATTAAAGTCGGTTTTTATACAACCTTTGTACATTGTATTTACTATAATTTGATAAATGTCGGTATAGTACTACATGCCTAGACAGTGTGACACAATAAAATGTGTGCATACAGAAATCATATACAGTGTGCAAACACGCATTCATTTACACTGTTAAATAAACTGTACATGTGCAATATGTGTAATTTTTCTATGTACAATAATAAGTGCATACTGTATGTCCATCTTGTCATTTTCTCCTGCTCTCCTTGTGCCTGTGTGTGTGTGTGTGTGTGTGTGCTCTTGTTAGGAATTACTTTGGGGAGAAGGTGGCCTTGTACTATCTGTGGTTGGGCTGGTACACATATCTGCTCATCCCTCCCGCTCTCATTGGCATGATTGTCTTCCTCTATGGCCTGGCCTTCTTCAACAGCTCACCCCTGATGTAAGTTTTTCCCACAGCTCCACACTATTTGGTAATTATCACCGAGCATGTACTAAAGTGTAACTAAGTGTCTGTTGTGTTGTAGAAAGGAGGTTTGCGAGGCTGACACGGTCATGTGTCCACTCTGTGACAAGAGATGCAAAGTGTGGAAGCTCTCTGACACGTGCACATATGCCAAGGTATATGAGTGCTTTTGCTATTGGCTGAATGATGTACTTGTCTGCTGATGCTCAGTGCCGGTTTTCATATATCTACAGGTAAGCCTGCTGTTTGACAACGATGGCACGGTGTTCTTTGCGATGGTCATGGCAGTGTGGGGTGAGTTTTATCTCTTTAATTGATATTTTCATTCTCGGTTTTACTGTATTTTCGATATTCAGATCCTTGTTTAAAATAGACACATGTGACAGCCATTAAAACCATCACAACAGGCACATTTAATAAAGATAATTGAAAATCAGGGTGCAGAGCTCCTCTCTGATACTGTTTTTTATTTGTCTATACATACAACTTGTACAAACAATTATTTTATCTGCCTTAAATATATTTTATTCAACCGCCTGGATGTTTGATCACTGAGACAGTGCTGCCAAGGAGATACCACATCACTGAGAGAACCTATTCCTCTTGGCGACTCACATCTGAATCAGCGCGGGCCATCTGGCCGTGGGGGTGGTCGAGCAGTCATCTATAAGAGCATACAGTATATAAATGCTCAGTCACCTACTGTATTATTTCATCTTTTTCCTCCCTTGAGCGCCTCTGTGTTTTGTGGATTTGCTTAAAGTCTGTTATTCTCATGTCAAATTCATCTCATAGAAAAAAAGATTGATGGAATGGTGATTTACCTGCTTAAAGTTTATTAGCACAGCTGTGGGAAAAGTACAGTTAGCTGGGCACAGCCACTGCAGTACACACGAGTATATGAGAGTACACATGTAGAGTAAGGTAAAGAATATATCAAGGAATGGAGGTCCCCTGTTAAACAGGTTAAAAACAAAGACTTTTACTATGCAATTTTTCTTTAAACATCTGAAAGCATTTTCTTTTTTTTTTTACTTTTTCAGCTGCCAGTCAAACCTTTTATTTTAATCAAAGCTCTTATAAACCAAATGTAACCCAATCTGGTTGTCTTACATCCCAAAACCTAAGTGCCATCTTTACTGCAAACTCCTGACCAAGTTGTTTCAGCACGTTGCTGTATAGTTTTTTGACTGGTCTTGTGTCAGTGTGCTGTATATCAAAAGCAAATACATCAGTACTGAATGGCAAGGAACATGGCAAAGTGAAAGATGAATAAAAAACA